AGTTCTGGAAAAAGACATGGGCTTCAAGCGTTAGTCGTATCATGCCGTTATGCCCCTACAGTGCAAGGGTCATCAGCTACTATTTTGTAGAGTTTTGAGCTACAGGCTTTATGCTATGGAGTTTGGGTCGATAAAGCATTGGTGCCTGTAGATTTTTGAGGCTTAAGACATTCTGTGGTTTGTTCTCAGTTTGGTAAAAATGTCGTTTAGATCAGGATGTAGCGGTTTGGGAAAGTTTAGATGAAGCCCTGAAGCCCCGAAACCTTGAGCAGTTCAGGGTGGTCTGCAGGGTTGCAATCGATTGAAGATCGCCGATGCCGCTAGCGCTTGACGCGTTAGTCTCGACACCCTGTATCAGGACGGGTTTGCGCGAGCTGTCAAGTTCGAAGCCGAAAACCGTAAACTCCAAAGCCGTAAGACCCTGAATCCCAAGTCCCCCATGCTTGAATGTTACCTGAGACCGTGTTGCCGATTCGTGGGGGAGGAGGGCTTGATTAACATCCGGCATCCTTCATTTGGGAGTTTCCGAAAATAGTGCACCCTGATTTAGTACCCTAAGTAGTAGGATCCTTATTGTAAGGACCTCAAAATAAGGTACCCCTAATCACTGCCATTTAAGAGTTCGTAGGTGCACCTCCGACTCCAGGGTTCAATATGCACTTGTCTTTGAACTCGGATTTCGGCGAGGCGTCGGAATGCCACGTGGCGCCCCTTAAGAGATGCTCACAACAAGGATCCCTTTTGTAACAATTGACGTGAGGTCCTACCTCGGTTATGAAACACTCTGCAAGAACCACGTGCTGAGGTCCCAAGGTACATACGCAATCGTATTATACTGTTGTTTTTGCTACTGTAAGGATGCATGACATATCGAGCATAAGCCTCACCACCTAAGCCACAAAATTGTGCTAGATTTCGTCGTGTGTGGTTGTCGAGCGATTTCCGAACGCCCCGAACATCCAACCTGGAAGCGCGAGAGACTCTCTGTAAACCCCTAAACTCCCTAACCCTAAACCCCTAGCCCTAAAACCCTGAACCCTAAGTCCCTAAACCCGAAACCCCCAACCCGAAGCCTTCTCCCAAGCCCTAAACCCGCAAAAAAAAAGCAAGTCCTTGAACCCCTCGGCCCCCTCCAAGCCTCGGGCCCTTCAGCTCTGCCTAGGACAGAGTTGGTTCTGCTTGTGAACCATTGCCTTGAGTCAGCAGGAAGTGTCGGGATACGATTGGTGCTTGCGGGTTTGGGGAAGTTTAGGGACGTTTAGGGGTTTAGGGGTTCATGGTTTAGGGGTGTGGGGTTTAAGGGTTTAGGGTGTAGGGGTTTCGGATGAGGGTTTACAGGTTCGGGTTTAGGTGTTGAGCGAGGGGTTTGGAGTTTAGGGTTGAGGGCTGTCTTTTTCGAACGAGGTGGCTGAGCCGGGTTGCAGGCTTCAGGGTTTCTGACTAATGATTAATACGGAGGCCTCAAAAGCTAATTACCCTATTCTTGCTCGGGGTTCCTTCGATGTTTTTGTGCATGCAATAGACCCTAAAACCCTATTCTGATCATTACGATTTTCTTATCAAGGCCACAATACTATGCTGTTGGAGTCGAGGGTTTTTGTGTTTGCACCTGGTGTCTTATGCCGCTTGCGCTTCGGGCTCCTTTCTGTGCGGAATATATTTTTTGAGTTGCCGGCAATGTCCTCACCCGAGCTCGGTATGTAATCAAACACCCCTACACACGCACACACTGGCAAGTGCTTAGCCTTGCAAGATAAACTCTCCAAACCTCAGCCCCAAGCCGTGATCCCAAGACCATTCCCTCGACCCTCATCCGAACCCCTAGCGGCCCTAGCGATCCCCAAGCCCCAATGCCCAAGCTACTTGTAGCCTCTGAAAGCCTCAAGCCTGCCTGGGCCCAGGAAGCGTCGCGAAGAGCCCTGAGCCTGCCAAGAGCAGTTTTTTTTTATGCCGCCACGCGTTGCTTCGAAACCAGGGTTCAGGCCTTCAACTCACAGAGGGGTTACTGTAAGGGCTGCGGGGTGACTGTAAGTATGGGTTGCTGCAAGGGGTTATTCTAAATACGGGTTTCTGTCGGGGGTTACTCCAAACATGGTATCACTACAAGGGTTCACATGTGGGTTAGTACAAAGGTGTTCAGCATACTGATGGAGAAGGACAGCTCGTCGGCGAGTCATTCGAGTAGGAGCTCAATAGGGTGTTTTGTTAAGAGACGATGGTATCCTTAAGGGCAGGGGGGTTCAAGGGGCGCATATAACTTCAAAGTAGAACCCCCTCCTTTACTGTAAGGATCCCGTAATGAGGGTGGCTTAGCGACGTGAGCCTGAGCAAGCACTTTGGGCAAGATGGTTTAGTGAAATGGAAGGTACGCCGTGGATGTTCTTATCGGTGGTGGAGTGTGGGGCTTGAATAAGCAGCTTGCAACTAAAGTTTTGCTGTCTATGCAGGCTGTAAATAAGAGTCTCCCAGCAACCCCAATGTACTTTGCTGGAAACCCAAACCTCGAGCAGCACCTATGCCTCAGACCCTGAATCCCGAAAACCTTAACAGTTTTGGTGGTAGTCAAGCATTCCGAGACCAAGAATTTACACGACAGTCGTCCCGCTTCCCCGGCTGCCTCAAGAACTCAAGTTCCAGAAAAACAGCAAGCCCCTCTGAAAAGACTGTTATCATGGGATAGGATCCTTCTTATCATGACTCCAGAGTTAGACACCTCGAATTTTCAGAACTCGAAACGGGCTTGGGGAACCCTGGGTAACTTTGGGAGCATCCCTTGGCGCACTTCAAGAGGCTGCCCGGAACAGGCCGAGCCTTCTTCTTTGACCCTACAGGGGCCGAAATAGGTTACCAGTACTATTTTGGGGGTTCGTCATTATTAGCATTAGCGGATATTATGCCCAAAAACCTTACTCTAATTGTTGTTGGCTCAACCTGGCTTCCGCCGTCTGGCTGGGTCTTTACAAATCCAGGCCTCAGGTGCTGTCCACAAACCCTGGGGTCTCCCTCATACTGTATATATATATATATATATATATGTATATATATATATATATAGGGGCCTTAATAATTAGTTTTGATAGGGTTTCGGGGTGTACTGTATATATAGGGGTCTTCATAGTTAGAATCTCGACTCACTTTTGAGCCATCCGAGAGTCTCGAGCTGTGTGTCCCTGCACGGTTTCAGCGGGGCTCCTCGGGGAGTCCCGTCTCTGGCATCGGCTAGGGATTACAAGCTTAATGTTCAAAAGTTGAGAATTCAATTCTTTAGGTTAGAAGCTGCCCCCACCCTGTAATAGTGACTATAAGGACTGCATTAGAGCCCTATTATATTCCTATTATACCACTATTACAGGGTGGGGGCCCCTTCTAAGCTTTAGGTGTTCAGCGAGGTTCAGGTGCCGAGCTGCACGGTTTAAGATTGCCTTTCTTCAAGCGCTGGTGCTTAAAAGCGCTTAGCGCGAGTCCCGGATGCCATGTGCCAGCGGAAAGTCGAAGCAGGTCATCTCTCAGGGGGCTGTATGTTATTGTTGTTATTATTATGATTTACTTTTATCATTACTGTTGTTTTTTTATTGTTATTATTGTTATTAATATAGGGGCCGAAATAATTACTAAGACTATTCTGGGTGGGGGGGGCTCCTTATTAGAACTATAGTATAATGGACCCCAGACCCCCACATTATACTATCTACATGTTAGGTGTTTATTGTTACGTTTTAAACCTTGTGCTTACATGCATCGAAACTACTTTCGAAATCCTAAAGTCTAGGGGCTTGCGCAGCTGTGGAAGTCGGCGGACACACCACATTATGTTTCGTAGGGTCGCGAGCTTTGAGCATGTAGTATATACAGGTTCGTGCTCACGATGACCTGCGAAGGCTGTCTGCAAAGATGACGTCCCCTCTCCCTCCCAACGGGGGGGGGTGTATCCCCCTGGTTTGAGATGTCTGTTTGAGTACGTGCCATCGTGGGTTTAGTTTCTTTTGCTGCCTTGCGCAACAGCTCCCTGTCATGATACTTGGGCGGGAGAGGGGCGTTAGTCACATCGGGAGGCCACTCGTGACACAGGGCTCCGACTCCATATCTCCGGTGCTGGTTTCAATGTGGTACAAGAACGGGGCACGAGCCGCGAAGTAAAATGCTGTGCCAGGTTTCCTCGAAACAATAGTACACAACAATAACTCTGGGCCTTGGGGTTTAGGGTTTACGGATGCTAGGGTTCAGTCTTTAGGGTTTAGGGTTTGGGGCGTTATGGCTGCACAAAACCCAGTTTCAGCTGCCAGAAGAAAAGTGTCTGAAATAGGTTATTGAAAAGGACTGTGGTAGGGCACCACCACCAAAAGCAAAACAATATATATCAACAACCCCAGGTGATGATTGTTCACTGCAAGTGCTGGAGGTTTCGCAAAGGCCAACTGCAGCTTCGGAGTCTTAGGTCCAGACGCATCGGGAAGTCATCAGTGGTGAGGCAGTCTCTGGTGGTGTTGGTCTGATAGTTGAAGATAAGGTCGTGTTAGTGGCGATCCCTGTTTTGAGAGTGCTTACTGGATACTCCCTTCCAGTCAAGGTCGTTCTCAGCTTCAAATAATCCCCAGAAAAAGCCCACAAGCCCCAGAACACTACAACCCCCCAAACCCTCAAGCCCCCAGACCCCTGAACCCCTCAACTCCCCAAATTTTGCGGACCTGATAGCAGGGATTGTAGTGTTTCTGCGTTATATTTGGAGTCGAGATGATTAAGACACGCCCCAAAACCTTCTTCTAGCTATTTAAGCCCCTACATTATTCTGTTTTGCGTCTACTCCCCTTTGAACCCGAAACCCTTAAAACTCGAAACTTTGTTGGGGTGGTCTACTTAGAGGTTCATGGGCACGTATAAGTGGAGCTATATGTAGGATAAATACAATTACAACCCACATTGCGGGACTTAACCCCACTTTTATCAACCCATGAACCTCCAAGTAACTCCCGACTCTGTTTCTTCCCCTCCGCGCGAGCGAGGTTCGATCCGACTGAGTGGCGGCGGTTGCGGGCTCCTCTGGCCGAGGCTTTCGGCTTTTGGCTTACCTTTGCTTAGTATACTTAGGGGCTTTTATGATTAGAATAGGGTTTTAGGAGCCATGATATTATCATCATAATAAGGAACCCCCAAAATAGTGTATTCAGGCCCCTATACTTACCTTTGGTTAATTTAATGGGGGATGGGGCTCCTTTAAAGGGATCTATAGGGTTCCTTTAACGGGATCTATAGGGGTTGAGGGTTCCTTTAAAGGGGTCTTTACCTTTGGTTAGTAGGGAATGGAATGGGGCCTTATAAAGGGGCCTATAGGGGTTACCATAAGGGATCTATAAGGGTACTATAATACTATAATATAGGGGCCTTAATAATCCGTTAACTTACCTTTGGTTAGTAGGGAATGCAGGAATGGGGTACAATTATAACAACAATTACTACCATTCTTCCATTCCCTACTAACCAAAGGTAAGCTTCGGCTTTTGGTGGGAAAAGCTCCGGGCTTCTGGTTTTTTTGTCGGTTGTGGGTTGTTAAGTGGGGTTATAAGTACCCTTATATGAGTTATAAGTATAGTTATCCTACTTATACCCCCACTTATAAGTAGAGTACCCATGAACCTCCAAGCAGTTTAGGCTCTTCAAAGGGTTCTATAAAAGAGTATGGAAAGGGGTCACTAGACGGTGCAATGTTCGTGTGGGTTCTTTCGAGAGTTCAAGAGAGGATTACGAAAAAGGTTGTTTTTTGCGAAAAGGGGTAGGTACTATAGCAGTACAACATTTGCGAAGGGAACAGGGTTTGTGTGCGTGTGTGTGTCCCTTGGCCCGGGGGGAGTTCTGGCGTCACTGTTCTCAAACCTTCCATGCTAAAGCCTGAACTCCCTAAACTTTACACAGCACAGGCTGGAACGTGACACTCTGCTGCTCACTCTTCTCCGCAACCCCCCCATCCTGCCCTTCGTAGGGGTCTCTCACCGTGGAGCAGGGGTCGTTTTCAGAGGTTCAAGACAGGCTGATAACGTAGGGGCCTTAATAGAATAGGGTTTGGGGTATCTTCAACCATAGTCATAAGAAACCCTAAACCCCTGCGCCCTAAACCCCTAAACTTAAACCCTAAACCCTATTCGAATTGCCACAAGGAACCCTTATAATATAGTTAAGGTATATTCAGCTATATAACTATATTTATATGAAGGAACCTTAAAACCCTATTCCGAATTGCCACTTCCTCGGGCTGGGCTTAGGTTGATGGCTCGTCAGGTTTCAAGGAAGGTCGGCTCGGGACTTTGAATCGAGAAACTCTGGGCCAGTTCGAACGAGTCATTCGTTCTTCTACTGGGACGGTGTCTTCGACGAGAGCACGCGGGGAACTCGAGCCTGCACGGGATTCTTAGAGGAGCTGCGCGAGCCGAGCCGACTGGCTGGAGCACTGAAGTCTTGGCTCTTCGGCAACAACAGGCCAAAGTGTTATTTCTTGAGCTGTGCATTAGCGTGTTGATGCATCTGTATTTGCATGCATGCGTGTGTGAGTACGGTCCACTCTAAATGATGCAATAACTCCTCCCTGGAGTACGTCCTCACGGTACCAGCGTTGGAGCCTCGGGTATTTGACGGCCATGCCCAGACATTACAGTGAGACAGATACAGTAACACCAGTGCCAGTGGGAGATGATCACCATAATTTGCACAATTCCACCACGAAGAAGACGATCACATGATCCAGGACGAGCGCCCGCCCTCTGCGGCCTTTGAGTCCCACGGCATTGCGCGTGTCCTGGCCTCAAACCCGTCGTGGTGGTGGATAGAGCTCTTTGCATGTGTCCTCAGGATCGGCTGGGGACCGTGAGACGCAAGAGTCGCGCAGGGAAACAAGACTGCGTGTTGCGACAAGAATATGCGTATATGTGTACGTACATATATATATATAAAGATATATATATATATATATATATATACATAATTATATATATAACGCCGAAAGCATGACGATCGGAGCCACCTGTCATGATGGAAACCACAAGTTAACACGGAAACGACGCATGACCCCGAGAGTCCTGCAGATCTCTGGATAGCATCGACGAGAACAAGTAACAGTCAAGGCCAGGAAAGGCTCTTGATTTTTATATTAAGACCTGCAGTCGGAGACCGGGCTATGACTCAAGCTAGCAACGAGAAGTTGAATTGCGTCGTCTCCGTCGTCGTCGTCCTTGTGGCTGTTGCCGATCCGGTTATGAAATGCATAGTGCTGGCGTCAGCAACAATAGATCCAAGATTCGGCAGCAGTAGCATCAGCGGTGAGACCGGTACTATCATCGCGGCCGTGGTCTGTTGTCATAGGCGTCTTCTGTTTGTCTTCGGTTTCGCAACCAATCATGCCAAAGTGCAAGAGGCTTTGCCCACAGGTTTCTTCCGCGTTGCCGTAGGTTGGGTGATTGCGATAAACAAAACATTTTTTGGCACAAGTGAGAAGCCCCTATTACGTCAAGGCATTGTTGACATGGCAACTGTTGTCGTTGTTGTACAACGAAAGCAGTTAACCACGAATGCACTTAACACTGCAGTCGAAAGCGCAGCTTTTGGATCAAGCAGCAGTTGCGACTTTTGGCCAGCGCGGGCGTGTCGCCGAGTCCTCAGTAACACCGAAATCGCTGGTTAGGCGACGTACTTCTCGATTTGCGAGGTTTCGCAAGAGTGCCGCCTCGTCCTAGCGACTTCAGGGACCGAGGCGTCACAACTTTGCAAACTGAATCCAGCAGAGCGGGCTTCCTGACGAGGCGACCGCAAGAGGTTTCGACGAGGTCCACTGGTGTATTCATCCGTGCAGACCTGAGGAACGATTGACGGCAAAATGCAGCCCTCGTCGTGCTAAGTCTGGTCGCGACTTTCGGCAGATGCTCGACATCGAGCGCGAGGCTGTGCAACTGCACCGATAATGCTGATTTGAGTTCGTCCGAGCCTGTTAGCCGGGAAAGCCTTGACTACCTCCCCACAACCCTGTTTCTCGTTGCTACCAATCGCCCCGCTCTATAACTCCACATAGACGCTCGGTCCGATTGGTTGTCACTGGTAGAATCTTTTACGACAGTGCTTCGGACGCTAGAACCGACAAAAGCCAGAGGGTCATTCGATTCATGAGGATTCTCCGATGTCTACTAACCTCAGTTAAAACTAAGACCGCAGGTGCTCCACAAAACCCTATTCTAATTATGCAGGTCCCGATATTACTCCACTCCCGTGGCCCTTATAGTACCCCTTTAAAGGAACCCTATGCTAATCATTATTGCGGCCCCTATGTTATAGTACCCCTTTAGATCCTTTATAGTAGCCCTTATAGACCCTTTAAAGGAACCCTATTCTAATCGTCAAGGCCCTGTTTTGCCTTGCGCTTTGTCCAGGCTGCCGCTCAGCTGCGTCCGGCAGAGCTGACATCGGCGCTGCAGGCGATGTCTAAAGCTGGCATGCACTACTTGGAGGTTCATGGGGAGTTATAAGTGGGGTTATGAGTCCCGTAATATGGGTGATAAGTATAGTTACCCTACTTATACCCCCACTTATAACACTTGGAGGGATTGCCACAAAGGACATAAGCCTAAGCATTTTATAAAGCATGTTATAGGGATATCCCTGCCTTGTTGGGCTTCATTATAAGGGGGGCTATATGGGATATCCCTATCCTTCTTTTTGCTCAAGTGCTCCTTTGGGGGCCCTATTTACGGGTTTGCGGACGAGATTGGCCCTTGAGCCCGTTTAGGCCTGGGGTCTGAGATCCATGGTAGCTGTGAGAGGTTACGGGTTAGGGGTTTAGGGGTTTAGGGGTTTGGGGTTTAAGGACTTGGTCCAAATAGTGCCGCTAAACTGTTGAGAACCTGGGTTCCAGCTGCCCACACAGCTCCAAAATGATCTCTTTACTCTAATCCTTCTTGTGGCCCTCGCTTGACAAACTTGCTCATGAGGTTTAGAAGTTCAGAAACCAAGATGAGCGCTAAACTCGAAAGTGCTCAAAAGCTGGTGTTTGGTTTTGGGTATTTCTTCGGTGTTCCGGTTCAGAACTTTAGTGTTTGCCGTGTAGGGCAGAGGTAAGTTAAGTGTGCAACCACTTTGACTGCTGCTCGAACCCAAAAAGGCTCCAAGACTTGACCCTCAACCCGAAAACCCCCAACAAAATGGCTCCGACTGGACCCTAAACCCCAGAATCCCAAACGAAAGCTCCGACGCCTCACGGAGCCGACACTGATCCTCATGAGACTTTTCTTACCTTGGGTTAGTAGGGAATGCAGGAATGGTACAAGTATAACTACTATTACTACCATTCTTCCATTCCCTGCTAACCCAAGGTAAGTTAATCCTAAACCCTAAACCTCCAAACCCTAAGCCCTTAAGCCATGAATCCTAAACCCTAAAGTTTTGGCACCGCAAGAAAATGCAGAAAGCAAGGCGCTTGCGGCCCTGCGGAGCGCCCCGGCACCCAGAAATTTCGGGGGTCTTTTGCTTGGGGTTTTGGGTTTGGGGCTTTCGCGGCTTTTGGGTCTCAGGGTTTAGGGTTTTGGGTTTTTAGGGTTTGTCAGGGTTTAGGGTTTGGGGTTTTTAGGGTTTGGCGTTCAGCTGGTTAAAGTTTGTGGGTCTGAGGTCTTCATAATTGGCATTGGGGGTCTTCCAGAACTGGTGCGGGCGGAGCTCGGCGAGCTTGAACCCTGAACCCTATGCCTCGAAACGTCTTGTAAGACTAAGAGATTTTCAAGTGCGGCTGTTTGGAATCCAAACCCCGAAACGCGAAACCCGCAACTCAAGCTTCGAAGCCTCGTAATTTCAATAACTCCTACCCTGAAAGCCTCAGAACCGAAACCCCCGTGCCCTAACACCGAAGCCTAATCATTTGCCAAAGTTCTTCCCCAGGGTTCCTTCTTAGAAGAAATTCGAAGATGCTCCAGAATCCCGCTCGAATTCTTAATGCCCGTTTGCCCTCCGCGAGGTGGAGCCGACCTACTTGAATCCAGTGCTGGACCGTTTGTCCGATGCTGCCGCTGGAAGCTGCAAAGGGAACCGGATCTCAGGTTTGCCACCATCCAAGGGCAAAGCCGAAGGACCCTTAATGGGAACCCCTGCCCTACAATGGACTATAAAATGGGTATATAATAGCTATATTAAGGTTCTATACCTAGGGGTCCTTATTAAAGGGTTCCTCCTTTTTACCATTTTTTACCCTTTGACACCAGGGCCCCTTCACAAGGTTCCTCACCTCTGGCTCGCGTGCTCGTGATGTTTGCAGTGCTTCAGAGCCGGCCTTCTGGTAATGTACGGGCCTAAATAATTACCAACACTGTACTATGATTACAGTATAAAGGGCCCCCAAACTCAATTCTCATTACTAGGGCCTCGATAGTAGAGCATTGGATTGCAGGAGTTTTGCGGGTTGTTCGAAGATCTGATGTAGGGTTTAGTTTAGCATCTAGCGTTTAGGATCCTACAACCCCACTTCCCGACATGCTCGCAGCGAGAACTGAAGATGAGTCAGAAAACCCTGCAACCAGCCACCATCAAACAAAGAAAAACAAAAACAGACATCGTGGACCAACTGCTGTTAAGAGCCCCGATCCCAACCCTGAACCCCGCCTAAACTCTGACGGAACAGCTTTAACTTGAAAGGCAAGCAAAGGCACCAAAGGAAGCAAAACGAAATCCGGCATAGCCCCGTATAGCTCAAGCACAACATACCCCGAAACCCTCTTCTAATCTTTTAAGGCCTCTGCAACCCTGAACCCCTAAACCCCTAAACCCTTAAACCCTAAACCCTAAAACCATAGCTGAGCCACCCAAAGAGGCCGGCTACTTCACGCCCCGACAATTCAGCCACGCGCTGACCGCCCTTTCCCTCCTCTCGGGGGCCCAGGCCTTTCAAAGAAGGGCGGAGCAGTGGAGCGTCGGGGTTCAGGGTTTGGGTTGCTTGGTGTCTTGCGGACTTTTCTCTTTTTTGAGCTATGAAGGGTTTTGGCTTTGGTTTAGGGGCTTGCGTGGGGTTGGTGTCGAGGTGCTTAGGTAAAGACCGAGGTTCGCAGGGTGCGACAAGCCTGCAACAAGGCTTCGCACTGCCACAAACCCGATCCGCCCAGCCTGGATCTGCAACCTGAGCCGCTACTACTTACCTTGGGTTAGTAGGGAATGGAGGAATGGGGTACAATTATAGCTACTATTGGTACCATGCTTCCATTCCCTACTGACCAAAGGCAAGACCGCCTCTAGATGCCACAGCTACAGCCATGACAAGCACCCCACTTACCTTTTTGTGCTGGGGGTGCGCTTCTTGAAACTGGATGAGAAAAGACGGTGCCTTGATTATGGGGGACATTCAGGAACCTAGCCGTTGCAGTCTTCAAGAGCGAAATCCTCATGGTGAAGTGGCCTTTCGGCACAACCAATCAACGGCTTCGAGTCGAGATGCCAAAAATCGAAACATAAATGGAAGACGAAGCAGGCAAAGCTTTTTACATCGATGCAACAAACATTCCCTAATATAGGACCCCAGTATCGGACCCTAATATCGAATCCTGTTGTTCGTCGTGATCATAGAGGTTCGGGTTGTCCATGGCGTCAGTCTTTGTTTTCGCTCAGACTAACACAAACATGCGTCCTCAAGACTACAGCTGTACAAATGTCTCATTACTGTGCTGGCTTATGCCGATCATGAACCCTTGTGGCTCTGCCGATCATGGTTCTAGCTGGCTTCTGCCGATCATGGGGCTCAGCCCCAACTGTGCCTCAGCGGCTTCGGATAAAACCCCTCGTTGAGCGGAACTCTACCTTACGGGAATTCTACACTCCTCCTCAAGTGTATCCCTTTGGGATTCACTTGCTACCTTTAGATTCCCGTACGTGCCACTCCCTGTAAGCAATACCTACAGAACTGCCTCCTATGAGTATTCACTCCTCTTAGGGCTTGGCATGTTGGGAAAATGTGCACGACACCCGGGGTTCTCGAAGTCGAGGTGAGAACCTGGATCTCCTGCAACTCTTCATAGGAAATTCCCCTTCGTTCATCAGTCTGGGTAGCTACTTCACGCCTAGCTGGTAAGCCTTCACGGTTATCTATACTCTGAACCTGTGGAGGAGGCAAAGGCCTGGCGAAGTCAGGCTGGACCTGACTAGAAGTAGCATCTGGGAAACTCCGAAATCCATCGAACTGCTCTCCGGTGGGAACCGGAGCATTGATTGGCTCTGTCAAAGGCGGTGGTGGTGGACGGGGTGCCTCTATCTTGACGTGTACATAGGGATGGATTGGGGCCTCTGGTGGACCCGGAGGATGTGGAACCTCCTCTCGCCTCCGACGAAGACCCTCCGTCTCATTCTGTATGGCCCTGCGTACAGCGTCCTGCCGCCTTGCTCTTCGCTCTCTATGCTCATCATCTTCATCAGTTCTTAAGGCTGCTACTTGTGGAATCTCTCGCCTCGAGCAACATGAACCCACACAAGCCTTACTCACTTCCCAAATAAACAGTACTGAAAACGTCAACAAAATCACCAACATTGACAATTCCAACGAAACCGGATCATCAGACTCGTCCATCCCCTTGCACAAGGTAGCCTGCAACCATACAATCATGGCCCAGCACCACTGCTTGCTGCCAACAGGTATGTTGGGACTGGAAGCCCGGGGTTTAGGCTGAACTGCAGCTACTTGTGCATTAAGGTCGAGGGGGCCTAAACCCAAAAGTTCCCTAAGGTACTGGTGTCTAGTTCCCGCTAAAACCTTAGTGAGGATATCTGCCAACTGCACATCTCCGGGGCAATGGCTTACAATCAACTCCAACCTATCTATCAGGTCCTTTATAAAACGGGATCTAACCCTTAAATGCCTTGTGCGGCCACTGCCGCCTCCTTCGGAGATCACGATGGCCGCCAAGTTATCCACCAGTAGGTGCATTGGATCGAGCTCAGGCGTGAGCTCTTTCATCAAAGCCTCGGTGCTCTGCCCAAGGACCACGCCTTCACAAGCGCTGACCAATTCTGATTCCGCAGTTGACAAACATACGATGTTCTGTCGCTTGCTTTTCCAGAGTATATTTCGACCTCTGTACTGAATCAAAATACCCGATATGGAATGCCCTCCGTACGGTGCGAAGGACGCGTCGGTATACACAACTACACCTGCAGGAGAATTCGGAACTGGTGTCAAGGACAACGATACATCTTTCGTAGCTCGCAGAAATTCCAGCATCCTAATTCCAAACTTATGCACAAGACTCGGCACTCTGCTCACCCAAGAACTCATCAGTCCAACTTCATGTGCTATGTCTGGCCTGGAACGCTGTGCAATCCACAACAATTCTCCGGTGATCTTCTGCGCCTTCCTTAAGGTCTGTGGGCACTGCGGGTTCTCCTGATCAGGAAGCTCCCTTGTCCAATCCTTAGGAAGAGGTGCAGTTCTCATCACCATTGGTGTATCATAAACTCGAATCAACTCCTCTATGTATCCAGCCTGTTGAAGACGGAATCCCTTCTTCCCAACAGAATTCGTCTCCTCCTGGATTTCTACTCCCAAAAACGTGATCGGCTCTTCAGCCGTTGCCCTCTGCAGCGGTGTACACTCCCATCTCTCCTTTATCCAGCTGAATAATGAAGAAGCATCTCCAGATTTGGCTAACAGCATAAGGTCATCAACGTAGACAATCATGTAGCCCACAGTTAGGCCTGAATCCGTGACCATGGTCCACAGATTGGACTCAACACTGCTCTGCTTCAGTCTGGTCCTTCCATTAGGACCATCCCATTCAGCCTGAGACAGGACATCATCCCTATGCATACTCCACCATCTTGGTGATTGCCTCAATCCATACACAGCTCTTGTGACTTCCCACAGTTCGTCGGCAGTGACTATACCCATATCTATGAGAAGCTTTGGAGGACGAAGCAATATACGAGAGCCTTCTTCAGGAGGGATCGGAGCTAATAGAAACGCATTCTTTATATCCGTAATCCAGGCTTGAAGGTCACGGTCGGAAGCATTGATAAGACACGCACGTAGAACGTCGGCAGGCACACCTCCAGCAAACAGTTCGTGCTCCGGGTTTCGCTTCTCGTAGTTTCCACATCCTACAATGCGGCACTTTCTACGAAAGAGATTATTAGCCTTACCCGGTTTGACTGTGTATACTCCTTTCGAAGGTAGCACTTGAACGTCTGGCTGCGCGGCCGCCTGTACTGCTTCTCTTCCCCTCAACCTTCTTATTCCCTTCATACCCTCTAAGGCTTCTACTTCATCAACAGCTGCCTTCCTCCAAGCGTTGAGATGCCTTTTGACTTCACTGGGGGAAACATTATGCACAACCTTCAAAGGGGCTTCTAGGCTCTGCAAAAGCTCTTCCACGTTGTGCGTAAAGAAATCCTCATCTATTCTTCTCACTTCATGCGTTGTACCTTCGACTGAAGTCGGCTTCTTTCGGGAACTTGAATCCGAGCACACATCCTGGATGGACACTCCACAAGCCGTAGGCACACGTATTCGTGCAAAACCATCACTGCTTGCAGAGCTTGACGCATCACCCTTGCAGGGCCCTTGAGCTTCCACCTTCAAGGCCCTCACAGATGGGGCGGGCTCACTTGCAGACCTTGGAACGCAACGCCTCCTTCTGGAAACCTTAGGCCAACTACTCCTGACCCGACTAGTACCCACCTCTATCTGCTCGCATTGACCTAAACCCACTGGTGGCACACTGCAAAAGGTAAAATGACCTGGACCCACTGGTGGCACACTGCTATCAGCCTCTGCTGAGGGAACGACCTGTGCTGCTGGGAAAACCACCGACTCTGCACACGAAGGTGGATGCAACAAATCTAAACTGCACCCATCGTCTTGTTCTCCGCGCTGTGCAGGGTTAGACGCAATCCACTCATCTTCTCCCCACACCGCCTGCATGCTCATTGCATATTCTGCATAACCCTCATAATCCTCAAACTCTAAATCTCCATCTTGAGCTAAACCATCAACCCCTTGGGAAACTTCTCCCTCAACCTGTGCTGCTGGGAAAACCACGGACTCTGCACACGAAGGTGGAGGCTCCTGAGACGAAGCGGCTGCTCCTCCTCGGACCTCGGTGTACCCTATCCATCGTTCCTCATTCCGTCTTCGTTCCTCACTTACAATCCAGTCATATGGGTCTTCTCCTTCATGGTTAGGGTCCTTAACCCCTAAACCAGCTACAGGCACTCCTGGGGACCGTTGGGTTAATGTGCGGTTCTGGATAACTCAAGGCAACTGTCTGTGCTGGCGGTCTAGCAATCTTACCTCACCCGATGTAAGGGAGGTCAAGTTAGGATTGTCTGGGCGTACAGTGCCAGACGGATGCACGCCTAACATTATACGCTGGGCATCTTGCGGCGGTATCCCAAACTCAACCAAATCTTCCCTAAAGAGAAAGGCTAGATCACTGGCTTGCTCTACTCCAAGGGTCACCAACTTACGGAAAGTCCATCCCACTCCCCTTTCGTCCAAAAAACCTTGCAAATCCGTTTCTTCAAGATTCTGAGCTGGGTAGTTGTGGGTCTCTCCTTGCGACGGATCCCAACCAACAAGCGGCGTAACAGAATCATCTTGCTCATCTCCTTCTACTAAGCCAGATGTGCCAACGTCGATTCCAGGAATAGGCTCCAGGTCCGGAAGTGACGTTCCTGTGCTTGACGGGACTGAGTCTTCATCATCAGCAGTTATCATCTTAACACAAGCATGCTGAGACGGTCCAAACTCCTCATCTCGAAACCGGAAACCCAGATGTCTCAGCTCAGTCTTATCCTTGGGCAGGAGCTTGTGCGTTCCTAAGGGTGTGTAGCCAACCAAAAACCAATCAGGCATCTTATGAACCGAATGCGGTAGGCGCGCATTAAAGCTCACGACCTCGG